AGATCCTATGAAGATCATTATTGTACGGTTTTTCTTAAATTATGATTTTTCTATGGATTTTTGGAAGAATGTTAGGGAAGATTTATAGAAGTTTATTTGCCTCCTTGTCTGAAATCTTTGAAGAAGATATCGTTCGGAAGATGAGTGCGTCGACATCAAGATTATCCTTTTCGAACATTGAAGGAAGAAGAATCCAAGATTCAAGAAAAAAGGGCATAAGACTCAAGGAAAAAAAAAAATAATAGAATTTGTCTTGGAGCAAAATTCGGCAGCAATTTTTTTACTATGATGCGGAATAAGAGATAGATAATGACCAAATTGGGACATTTGGTAATCTACAGCAGCAGCTCAGAATATATATAAGGCATGTAGTTTACTTGTATCCTTTAATTTAAATGTGTTATTATTAAATCTTCCTGTTTTTGTTAATCGAATTATTATTTCTGCGTTATGCAGGAGTGTTGAGATTATACCTCCGGTGTAATATTATGTAAAAAATAGTAGTCATATAGTTTCGTTTAAAAAAGTGGCAACTTTTATGCGATCTTCAAATAATTAGCCAATGTCAAACCAATAATATTATTATCTACCTTAAAGTTATAAAATTTGTATTTGAACTTTTTTGTCCGATGTCAAGGAAATATATTGCCGTTTTCATTAAAAATAGGACACTCTGTGTATATATATATATATATAATGTTTCTATTTTATTTTCTTGAGGCAATTTGAAACCTAAAATAAATTTTTAGACCAAGTCTTTTATTTCAAAGTGAGGAGTAAATCTTAATTTTGTTGAGTAATCTTTTGAGTCAAGAATAATTATCTTAAATGGAAGATTTTTTAATTTTTTTTTAAAACGTACTTTTTTTATCTCAATATTTTTTTCTAAGACACATGATTTTTGAAATATTTTATTTTAAAAATCAAAAATGCTTTAGAAAATATTGTCTAAAAAATAGTTTTCCTGTTTTTTTAATTTTATTTTTTTTCTTCTTTTTTTATATCATGATCTTAATTGACTCAAAACAAGTCATTGAACAATGGAAATGCGTCATGACGCAATATAAAAACTATTCAGGGCACAATATGGTCATAAAACAGTCCCGAAGCTAACTTCTTTTAATTTTTGAATAGGAAAGTTTTGTTAACTCATAACGATAGTATTCACTCACATCAGCCGATGTTTAGAAATTTTCCAGTGTATTATTAATCAGCCGATTAATATTTAATCGATTAGCAATGGACTATTGAATGTCACTCTTTCACCTTGAGAAAATAAAATTGGACCTTGAATATAAAACACATACAAGAGACAAAAACGACTGCAACTTGGTATGCTTAAACTAATGCCATAATGCACAACTTTCATTTTTGTTATTTACTTTTTCGTTTAGCTTGTGATATATGTGATAATTTTATATCGCACATATAGAGTAATCTTATACAATAGATATATTTTCTAATAGATATATATTTGCACATTTTTCATGATTTTATACAATTAATTAATCACTCATATAAACTAATGTAAATGTAGAACTTATTCTAGAGTAAGTATTTTAAATAAATATGTAATATTATTTTTGAGTATATAATATTGTATAATACATTTTAGCGAAGTATACAACGTCATTATGGCACATAACATTGTATAAAATACCGATTTAAGATAATTTTTATATGTCTTGTTTTTTTGCTAAATAATAAATTTAGTTTTATATTATGTGGTAAGAATTTGGAGAAACTATTAAAAAACGGCCTGTCAGTTTGTCTGAATTCAATGCTATGTATGTATAAATAAATCACATGTATAACTTCATTTTTTAACATTTATGTGAAATCTTACTGTACTTATGTTAATGATTCGTATATTTTGTATATGTACGTTTTGGAATATGTAAAATAAATAAACTTTAGAAATATAACTCATGACCTTTGTTCATTGTTAAAATATTAGTTTACATTATTCATATATGTATGTACGTGCGTGCGTGTGGTGTATATGTGTATATACATATATATATATATATATGGTGTGT